ATAAAAAACCCGTGATTTTTACAATTTCATTTTACTTTGAATTGAGATTATTTAAAGAATATTTCATGTGTAAAGTTATTGTTTTGAATGGAAGAAAAGGAGAATTCTAACAATTTTATTTCAATAATTAAAAATAGATTCATTCAATTTTTTTTCTATCAATTATGAGAGAACTAATTTTGGGGACATGATTTACGATGAACTATTTTAATATAAGAAAAGGAGAGTTCTGACTATTTATTTATTTTCTATAATTAAAAAATAGATAAATTCAATTAATTTAATTTTCTAATCAATTATAAATTATATTCGTTTTAGTTTTATTTTTAATTTATTTTAAATTATTTTATTTTATTTTAAATTATTTGTTTTTATTTTTTTTATTTTATATTTGTCGTATAACCGCATGAAGCTTGCCAAATATTTAAACCCTCTAAATTGCTCAAGTATCAAATAAAAAATGTCAAAAACAAATATTAAACAAGTATTCACAATGGAACATCTTCTAGTTTCAATTTACATTGATGTTGTAACATCGCTGAGTTTAATACGCAAGCAGATAAGGACAGTTGCATCCAATAATCTTTGAAATGAATTTTGATTTCAAAATTTAAACAAAATAAAAGTACATTACCTAATAGACATAATAACATAGCTTTTTAATCAATAAGACTGAAAAATTAACATGTTCAATTTACGGAGTTCATGTTTTAACGTTTACTCAAATTTAGCAAATGCTTATTTTGGCAATGACTAATTTATAGAATTGGCGTCTAAGTTTACTCCCGTTTGGAAATACTTCCTATGGAAATTTAAAAAAATTTTCTCGATAAAAGAAATTCATTGGTTAACATGTTCAATTTACGGAGTTCATTTTTAATGTTTACTCAAATTTAGCAAATGCTTTTTTGGCAATGACTAATTTATAGAATTGGCGTCTGATTTATTCATATCGACATTTGGAAAATACTTCTTATGGAAATTTTTTAAAAAATTTCCTTTATAAAAGAGATTGATTAGTCAACATGCTCAATTTACTGAGTTCATGTTTAATGTTTTGCTCATATTTAGGAAATGTTGTTTAGCAATGACTAATTTTTGGAGTTGGCGTCTGAGTTCATTCATATTGGGAAATATTTTTTTTGGCAATTTAAGAAAAATTTTTCGATAAACAAGATTGATTGGCTAACGTGTTCAATTTTAGGAGTTCAGGTTTAATATTTTACTTGTATTTAGCAAATGCTTTTGGGGGGAATTACTATTTTATGAAGTTGGCGTCTGAGTTTATACATATTTAGGAATATTTTTGGAAATTTTGATTAACGAGATTGATTGGCTAACGTGTTCAATTTACAGAGTTCAGGTTTAATATTTTACTTGTATTTAGTAAAATGCTTTTTGGGAATTGCTATTTTATGGAATTGGCGTCTGAGTTTATTCATATTTGGGAAACATTTTCTTTGGAATTTAAGAAAAATTTTTTAATTAACGAGATTGATTGGCTAACGTGTTCAAGTTCAGGTTTAACATTTAGTAAATGCTTTTTTTGGGAATTACTATTTTGTGGAATTGACGTCTGAGCATATTCATATTTGGGAAATACTTTCTTTGGAATTTCAGGTTTAAAATTTTACTTGTATTAGTAATGCTTTTTTTGGAAAATGGTTTATCATGTCTAATTTATGAAATTTCTGAGTTTTGAAAACTTTTTTTTTGGAATTTAAAAAAAATTTTGGATAAACGAGATTAATACTTTTTCATCAAGTAGTCATCGAAGTAATTAAACTATGGTCAAAAAACTCAGTAGTATTATTCAAAAAGTCAAACAATTAGTAAAACTAAACATACCCATTCCAGCTCACCTTAATCCAGCTATTACAGTATTAAATAGAAAAACAGCTTAAAATAGTCAATCATAATTTATTAATTAAATACCAATATGGAGGCCATATTTTCTCACAATATTTAAAGTAGCATTCTTATTCTTCATCTCAATTGTAGCTCGATCATAAATTCCTCTAGAATCGCACAAAATTATTAATCATCACTTGTCTATCCTCTTTAAAAATGTCGAGACAAAAGTGACTTTTTAGGAATATCATTTTTCGCATTTTGCTCATTATTACTTTGGGGTACTTTTTAAGAAACTTGTAAATAATAAAACTACCAAAATTATTACGAATTAATACTACATTACTGAATTACAATTCAATTTTACCACTTTTATCAGAATTGTGTTTACCAGAATTACAAATAATTAATGGAAAATTAACGCAATAACGAAGTAAAGCGAATACGTATCAAGGTAAATGGTGCAAAAAGCGAAACAGTCCGATTTCATTTTTCGTTCTTAGCCCATTTGTTCTGAGGTAGCGTCCCAGCAAGGTTTGCTTTAGACATCCCTTATGAGACAATTAACATAAAAGTACATGAATTTAAGCTACGGTCTTTAAATATCAATAGGTATTTTTTTTTATCACAATTACCATTAATCGATAAGTGACAGCATTGCAAACAAATAATTATTAATAAAATTTTTTAAAAATATTACATTAAATTAATTAATTTAATAACTCGCTTTTTACATGGTTATTTAATTAATAAGACTTAAAATTAAATAAAAAATAAATAACCATTTATTTAATTCAATTGATAAATCACAGCTCGAGTCAAATTATCAGGATCTTAATATATATACTTTATTTATATTATTTAATTTTATTAAAAATTGGCTTCAAAAGATAATTTTACCGTTCGATAGTAATGCATTTAAAAACCAATTGAATAAATAACACTAAATTTAATTGAATTTTATTTTTCTTGAAAAATCATTTAATCTACATTTAAACACTTATACAATTAACCATGAAATTGACGTTATCCCATTTATTTGCCCATCCAAATCTCCATAGCATCTCAGAAAATCAAGACGGCATGTAAAATTCGAGCAGCGAATTTTATTTGCCAAATTTATATTCGTATTCTGCCCAAAATAAATCCCAATTCTGCATCAGAAATATTAAAAATATTAGCTCTCCTCAACCAATCACTAAGGTATACCTGCCTATTTCCGTGGATTAAATTTATTAGTAATTTATATATAAAATAAAAAAAACAATTTTTTAAAAATATAAGATTGAAATTTCTGAGATAACTTACTAAATAAACAGTTCTTGGAGAATTAATAAAAGTTGTAGCAACCATCAATACAGTTCTAATAATAGTAAAAATAAATTCGGTCTAGTATATCATCTGTTATCTGTTATTCACATTAAATCAACAGTTTGTAAGTGTTGAATTTTATTCATATCACAAGTTATGAGCGATTTACGTTTTGCGATCATATAAAATTTTTATATAGATCTACAAAGAAATTTATATGATCGTGAAATGTAAATCGCTCATAACTTTTGATCTACTGTACCGAATTTAATGTTTTTACTATCATTAGAACCGCGTTGACGGTGGCTACAAGTTTTATTGATTTTAAGAGCTGTTCACTTAATAAATAATTTTAGAAATTTCAATTTTATATTTTAAAAATTGTAATAAATTTTTTTTAAAATTATACTTATTTAATTAAAAAAATTTTTAGAAAATAAATAGATAAATAATAAATAAAAGATAGTAAAAAAAAATAAAACAAAGTATAAAAAATAATTAAATAAAAAAATTTTTAAAAATTTTAAAAATTTTAAATAGTTTATATTGTATCCACGGAATAGGAAAGAGGGCATCAAATTTTATAAATTTTATAGAATTTTTCTTTACTAATACAAAAAAATTTTTATATATTAGTATAATTTAATTTGTATATTTTTAAATAATAAACAACGAAAAAAAAAATAATAATATTTCGCAGAATCCCGGTTCTAATTTCCACTGCCTGGCTTTTCAAGAAGCAAACCTGCAGAAGTTGGTATTAGTTCAAAAGAAGGAAAAAAAAAAAAGCAAAGAAAAGAAAAGAAACCACTTATCTCACAAGATCCCGGATTTAATTGCCAAATCTTCACAACCCGAACATGATAGCTTTTCCTCCTTCCGATCTAAGATTATTATATCCAAGATTCAAAAAAGTCAGCGTAGTGTTTTGCAAAGTGCATTTACAAAATGCTTTTTCACCCTCTGATTCTAGATTATTAAAGAAATCTTCAAGAACGATGGCACCAGAATGACAAAAGCCTGAAATCATTGACAAAACCGGAACAACAGACCTATTGTTAGAATCTCCACAAACTACGGTACCAAATAACCAAAGCCAAGAATCTCTGAACGACGAAAGCACAGAATCTTCATATTCCATGAACGACAAAAGCCCAAAAACTACAGCACCAAATGACGAAAGCCCGGAACCACCCTAATTCTATCTTGAATAGCAAAAAAAAAAAACTGAAAAAAAAAACATTTCTCGCGGGATCCCAGTTCTAACCGCCAAATCTCCACAACCTAAACACGACTTTATAGCAGTTTTATAGCTCTAATACAAGGCTTCAATGCTGGTTCCAACGATGACTCCAATGGCAGCTCTAGCGACGACTCCAATGACGAAACTATACTTTAAAAAAAAAAAGCCAAAAATCAAAAAAAAAAAACCAAGCGCAAAAAAAAAAAAAAAAAATCATTTATATGATCACCAATCTAAAAAATGATTGGCCGATCACATGGGGTCGCATAGCGACAGGTCGCTTTTATTTTTGTCTATTTTTTAAAATTCAATCGCTTTTTTAAATTACATTCTTGCGAATTATTTGAATTAAGTTAATTAAGTTCTTAATTTAGAATAATACAAATGATGTCTATAAATTATTTATATTATCTGTTTGAACAGGGTATTTACAAAAAATAGTGAAACTTAATGAACAAATTATATATCTTATTATTAAGCCACAAAAAAAATTCAATTATGTCATATTACCTTCTTTCTTCTCTTAATCTTTTATTGATAGCTATAATTTTTTGTTTTGCAAATTCACAGAATTTGGGATCTTTTTTTAAGTTCTTTATAAATGTCTATTACACCATTCTTGTATTGATTTGTTTTTTTTAAGCTCTTTAACCTTTTCTTCAAATTCACATTTCAAATTGATAGCTATAATTCTTTCATTTGCAAGTTTATTGAATTCAGGATTTTTCCAAAGTTTTTCATAAATGTCTAATTCATTCTAGTATTGTTTTTTTATTTAAGTTCTTTAAACTTATTTTCAAAGTCAAGTTCCAATTGGTTCCTCTTTATATATATATTTTTTATTAATTTAACGATTAAAATAATGTAAACAGAAATTATTAGATAAATACCTGTTCTTTCAACCATAATAGGTATTTAATTTTTGAATTATTTATTGGATGATACTTATATAGTTTAATCCTTTCATTATTAATTGTTGTGTTCTGTCGCCTTTTGCTGTGAAAATAAATAAATTAATTAAATTACATAAGAATCGTTTTCTTGTTCTTTAAAACAAAGTGTTAATATTGTTACTTAAAGCCAATGACTTTGCGGACTCTACTTATATATAAATCATATGACTTAATAGACTCACGGTCCGTATTTTTTTGATTATCTCGGTTATATGTTAAAGTACTTTATTTTTATAATTTTTTTTATAGGCAATTAATTTTTTTTTTATATAAACAAATGAAATTAAATATACAACATATATTGACATTAAAGCTAGACAGTTTGTAACATTCAGTTGATTCATGAAGCTATATGATATATAAATGTATGCCGGGTATATCATTAAAATGTAGAATAGATCACTGGCAATATAAAAAAGAAGTAAAAAGGAGAAAAATGAAACCAAAGTACATCCATAACCAAAATAAAAAGAATCAAAAAAAAAAATAAAGTATTGCACCAAAAACCACAGGATGCACTTTTAATAAAATATGAAGAACCAAATATATGAAAAAAAGCATATATATGCAAAGTAAAAAAATGAAAAAAGACAAGACACATCCATGGATTCAAAAATACCAGAAAAACCGTGAATATAATTCCTTTGTATAGCAATGTAAAAATCACATCATTACATTAAGTAGTTATATTTAGTTACTAAGTAATTGTCATTAAAATTTATTACAAAGTTTGAGTCCTCAAAAAAATGGTTTATTAATCCTACTTTGAATCTATAATATCTACAAATTTGCATATTGGTTGAAAGCAAGTTAAAAAGGCAATTTTCCTGAAAATTTATTTCCGAATTCATTATTTAACCGATTATTCAAATGTCCTTGAGTACCTGAAAATACGCAAAAGTTTAAACAAATACTTTAACTCATATAAAAACTAAAATAGCTTATTTTTTTCACGTAACTTAATGAAAAAAGTTTAACAATCCTATGAAGAATAATAAAGTTTTTAACAAAAAATTTATATATAGATATACAGAAAAAAATATGTCTTCAACCCTACCTTCGACTACTAATGTTGATAGAAATTTCACATATTATGACAAAAATGTATGAAGTTTGATTATTTAATCAAGTAAATAGATGAGTAAAAGTTATATTAATAAAGACTATCTAATGATAGTTCTGAGAGTTCTGGTAATAGTAGAATCATTGATTCTCAGAATACCTTTTTTTTGAGCAGCTATTGTGTTTTTGGTTGTGTTTTAATTTATGAATTATAGTCACTCTCAATTCACCCTTTTATATTTGGTAAGCAATTCTTGAATTCATGCCAGGTTGTTGGCAAATTAACCAGCCCAAGTAATTTGACAAACTAAAAAATTCCAATAACAAAAATAAATTTGGGTTTTAATAGAACGAAAATACCATTTTTTAACATTATCCTATTCGAACCAAATATTCTTATTTATATTTTTATAACTTTTAGCTTCTAATATTACTGCTTTGAACTCAAAAAATATTTATATTCTTTTACTATTATAATGTTTATAAATTTACAGACCAGAATAATGACAACTCGTCAAAGTTCTAATATAATACGTGTAAAAAAATATATATCATCAGAAAGTTAAACCAACTATTATTATATAAATTAAACAGTATTATTAAATAAATATTTGTTAATAATATTTTTTAAATACTTGGTGTTCCATAAGTATTTATTTATATTTATTACAAGTATTTATTTACTATTACAATTTAATTTTTTTTTTTTTTTGAGTTAAGGAGACCTCTTTGGCCTAAAAGCTTTTATTAGGATTTGAAACGGTGTTTTATACGCAATTACAATGATGATACATCAAGCCACACGTGCACCTTT